TTAATAGTAATTGGTATTTTAATGAGGCTTACAGGCCATTTGCACTGTGGCAGTTAAGCATCGATTATCTGGGAGGTTAATTGATTAGCTGCAGATGAAAGGGTGCCATCAAGAGTGATTGATTCATGCTTTTATTTCTAATTATAAGATCGATGAAATAATTATGCATATGTTCTGCGTGTGTGAAAAGAATGAAACTATGTATGCATATATGACTTAATAAAATATTCTGCGTATATGAAAAGAATATTCAAACGGTAGAATGTTCAAACGTTAGAATGTTCAAACACTAGCTAGTGTAGTTCTAGCTAGACATTTCGAGCGGTGTTAACAGTTCTGGGAAAGTTGTAAAGCTGGCAATCATTCGGCCATCAAAGGTTCTCGCGTTCCAGAGCGTTATACCGGAAGTCGTCTCGCATCGCGGAAGGAACGGTCAGGAATTCGATTATAGGAAGGTAGGTAGGAATGTATGGATCGCAGCTTAAAGCTTGGTGGCTGTGTATTCATTGGCCACGCATTTACGGTAGAAATACCGGGCTGGTTCATTCTGTGCCCGCGTATCGGCCAGACATCGCCGGTCGCTGCAAACAATTATTACTACTGGGCAAACTGAAACGGTTCAGTGGAAACAGCCGGCATTCGCAAGCAACTCGGTACACAACCGACGCGTAACAGTTCACTCGTGCTAAACGAGAACGTCACGCAATTCTCGCGTGTCAACGTTCGGGCACGTACGTACACGCGCGCGTGTTACGTCCGAGCGTTTGGTATGCGAGTGAACTACCGGTAACCAGTCTGGCACTGGATAATCGTGATGTAATGGAGTGTAGCCCGGTTAATGAGATACCTTGCTGGTCGTTCGACTAACTTGGCAGTTCTGCTCGTCTCCCTTCTCTCTGGCTTGCTACCTCGTTCAACGGAATCGCCTGCGGGCTTTCCTTCGAAGTTCACGCGGAGACGGTGATACTTGATCCTAATTCTGTTGTGAGTTGGAGATGGAATAACCTGCAGGTTGTTTGCTGCAACTCGATATAATTATATGTTTGAACGTGTGATTCCGCATCGTATCAACTTACTGTTTGCTGACTTGCTTACTTCAGAACAGTTTACTATTTCATTTAGACTTTGGACTAATTACTCTCATTGCTTAATCAAAGTATTTTATAGTCGGTACACTCTGTGAGTCTCACTATGATCTATTGTTAGAACTATATCATCATCCACCAGCTCTGTGAGTCTCACTATGATCTATTGTTAGAATTATATCATCAGTCCATCAGCTCTGTGAGTCTCACTATGATCTACTGTTAGAACTATATCATCAGTCCATCAGGTACCTTCAGTCCTTTGTATAATTTATAAATTTGAACCTCAATTTACAATATGTCATTTTGTACCAGTTAGTATCTTGTAAATAGCACAAGTTTGCTACGTATCTTTTTCCAGTAGAGCACGTAAGGCGAAGGAAATAAAGATTACGGAAAGAAACGGGAACCTTAAGACACACTAATCTGGGAAGTTTGGATCTGGCGATTTGTACGTTATTCGTGCAACCGTTGACTGTACACAACAGGCTCCTGTGACATTTATTTCTGAGACATTCAGCTTCATTTCTGCCCGTACGTGCTTCGAAACCTATCCGGTTACGCTTCTCGGCACACCCTCGCGTCATTCGCCCTCGGCTCGATAATATCCGCGCCGTGGGGTCGCTTATTGGGTAGTTGTCTAATCGACTGTGGAACTCGATATAGGTATACCAGCTTCTCGACTCCCTCGATTAGTCTATTTAATGGCGTTAATTGGACGCGAAACTGCGTGTTGCGCTGTGTTCCGGGCGTTCTTTCTCCCTTCACCAAGTACAATCTTCTGACACAACTTACTTTTTATCCTGATTTCTCCGCCCTTATTTCTTGTTAGAATATTTATAACAACCTGACCTATCACTGTTTATACCTCAAAAACTTTGCATCCCTTGTTCAAGTAATTCCATATTATTGAATAAATATTCGAGGGAATCAGAAGTTTTCCACTACTATCAAACGATTATTGAGAAGTTCACTTCAAAAACTGAACTCCACTAATATGAGAAACTTGGTCTGTTCGTTTTCTTTTGAAGATCCAATAAACTTTCGTAGCTTGCTGAAATTGCTTCAACTTCAAAATTTCCATTGAAACGTATGCAGTAAGACTGTATTCATTATACACCGTTCATTCGTATCAGTAAAGTTCTGGGTTATACAGTTTCTGACAAGTGTTGAGCTAGAGTTATTGTTAGGATAAGGTTTGGAACTGGACATTCGATATGAAGCTTAAGTTGACATAACCTTAACTGTTTATTCTAACTGTTATCTTAGTCAACTCAGAGAAAGGAACCTAAGTCTGAAGGAATTTAAAGAATTCAAACTTGTCACACGTTTGAATTCTAATCAAACACTTGAATTCTAATGTCACATTCTAATCAAACAATCTTTTCTGTTTCAGGAGCCATCTTCATGAACTGGCAGAGAGGACGTGAAGTGTATCTCGCAGTGAAACATTGACTTCCATAAATGAAATCGCGTATCGCAAAGTACCGATGTTACCGCGACCCTCACCCTCCCCGAGCGAAGTTGCATACGTAGACACGATAATGGGGTTAGAATCGAGAAGTTAAACGGATCGATCGAGGTACACGTATCGTTCCATACGTTCGGGACAATGCCCGTGGGATTTTAAAGTCGAATCTTCGTCTGGTCCAAGCAGATCCAAAGGGGCGAGACAGAAGTTAATTAAAGCCAATGATCGAGTCTAATGGTAAGCTCTCGGGGGAAGGAATTAAAAAAAAGACTCGATAACTTCGCCGTTGATTTTCTTCGTGGAAAGGGATCGAAACTCGGAGTCCAAAGGAATTCTTAAGTTCTGCTTCCTGGCGGATCGAGCCCTTCTTGGCTAATTGCAACTGGTTTCATTAGTCAGATAAAGGCTGTTAATTAAGAGAAACCAGTTGGTCTCCCTTCGGACCTTGCTGTAAACAAGCGTTTTACTGGTAGAAAACGTTGACCTGTACTACTGCTGACTCGATGATTTCGTTCTTGAAAATCCCTTCGGATTTTTCTATGAGTACAAAGTATTCCTAAGGGTGATTATCCCTTAGTAATTTCCTAAGGGTGATTATTGAATGATGGAATTTTTCAAAAATGTCTACTTGTTTAAATTCTGGAAAAAGCGCTCGCTGATAAGCTAAATCTGTTCTCATTGTGTGAGGTCGAAACTGCTTATCTCCTTCTTGCCGGTCTCGTACGCGGATGACGAAGAATACGTGATCCAGTTAGACGACAGTGAACTTCAGGCTCTCTCTCGTGTTTGATAACTGCTGATTTCCATAATGGCACCGTGTACGAGTACCCTAGCTTACGTTCTTCTCGACCCGGGACACTTTCGGTGAGATCGATCGATATCTGATTGATTTCCGCTCGATTTAGGTATCTGATAAATATTCATGGGGATCGAGGAGGATTAAGGTCGACCAATTAGGCTGTGTGGTTACTTCGAAGATCGAAACTGGCGCTGAACAGCAAAGTTGATATCTCATTTTCTTTCCGAATGTGAATGAAATACGTGGATTCGTAAATCGAAGTGAAAAGTGAATAAACAAAGACGTCGAACAGAAGCAGGATAAAAGCATCAGCTTTACACCAATTTTCAGATGTGAGAAACTGCGAAACTCCGGCAAGAGCTAAGTGACAAAGTTCATGCCTTTCTGTTAAATTCCTATTTTCACCGTGGAAGGAACTTCAGGAACTTTTCTTTTTTCAATTACTCGAAATAGAAATATTCGAAAGTTCTTCCGGTGAACGCTAACTTTATCCAGCTGACAATTTTCTCTTCGTGTATCCTCAGACCGCGCATACGTATCACAAGCAGCCTCTTTATCTCGCATCAAAGAGCGATGAAAATTTCCTATGCGAGATGAGAATTTGAAACGAGAAAACTGGAGACAGAGATAGATCAAAGCCGCACGAATCATTTTTCTATTTAACAGGCAACTCTGAACCGCCAGGAAGCAAAGGTCTACACCAGAAATTAGATCAGCTTCTTGCGTTCCTAGGAACTTATAAGTTGTATCAAATCAACGCTTCGATGAAATTACTTCCTTCAGGTTCCCAAGAAAATTTTAAATTACGTTGACTTCTTGGTGCTTCTTTTTTTAATTTATAATTTTTAACTGCTGTCAGGACTGCAAGGCTTCAGCGTTGTATAATACGGGAATTGCCATGTGTTGAGTCAACGCAGTAATAGTTGACAAGCTTAATAATCAACGTGCTGAGTAATTGACTGAGTAGTTGAGTTGATGCGCTGAGTAATTCGTGAGCTGTGCAATTGACGAGCTAAGTAGTCTACCTACTGAGTAATAGCGCTAAGTGGTCCACCTACTGAGTAATACACGCGCTGGGTAGTCAATACGTTTAGTAGTCGACGCGTTGAGCAGTTAACACATTGAGTTATTGAAGCGTTGGGTAGTCACTGCGCTGAGTAGTTGAAGCATTGAGTAGTCGGTGATCTGAGTAATTGTCGCGCTGAGGAGTTGACGCATTGAGTAATCGAAGCGTTGAGTAGTCGGTGATCTGAGTAATTTTCGCGCTGAGGAGTTGACGCATTGAGTAATCGCAACGTTGAGTAGTCACTGCACTGAGTAGATGAAGCATTGAGTAGTCGGTGATCTGAGTAATTGTTGCGCTGAGGACTTGACGCATTGAGTAATCGATACGTTGAGTAGTCACTGCGCTGAGTATTCGAAGCGCTGAGTAGTCGGTGATCTAATTGACGTGCTGAGCAGTTAACACGTTGAGTAATCGATACGTTGAGTAGTCACTGCGCTGAGTAGTCGAAGCGCTGAGTAGTCGGTGATCTAATTGACACACTGAGCACTTAACACATTGAGTAATCAATACGTTGAGTAGTCACTGCGCTGAGTAGTCGAAGCGTTGAGTAGTCGCTGATCTGAGTAATTGTCGCGCTGAGGCGTTGACACATTAAGTAATCAATACGTTCAGTCACTGCAGCGAGTAGTCACTTCAACCTCAAGTACAATCATCACATACCATCCCATTGCAGTATAACTAGAGTCCCCATCCGTGAATATAGAACAACCGTAATTTCTTCGAAGATATTCCCCCGTAAAGGGTTAAAAACCGAACGCAAGGAAAAGCTGACCCAGTTTCAAAGGTGTTCCAACCATTTGACCGTGTGAGAAAACACAGCGCGTCGGATAATGAACAGAGGGTAGTGCTCGCTGGAGAGTTTGCAATTGGTTTATCGGCAGTTAGGTAAAACGGAGACGAAATAGGGCCAGGCGAGGCTCTGAAGCGTTCGCTGGTGAAATTTGCAGGGAAAACCGCAAGCTTGCGTCGGGGAGGCGCGCAGTTAGCGCTCGAACAGGCCTAAATGAAGAGCGATCGTCGCAGGGACAGGTGATCGATAGGGATTGCGAGGAGCCGCGCGATTCTGGAAGCGTGTGTGCGCTCGCGCGGAGATCGCAGGCTGATCGTGGCGGTAACACGCGAGGGGAGGGACGGAGAGCAAGATGAAACTCTTCCTGATTCTCGTCTGTCTAATTGCACCGCCCATCCTCTCGCTCTCGATCAAGAGCAAGTTGAATCCACGGATCGTTCAAACAAGGTACGGCGAGGTGCAGGGCTTGATACGGTCCTTCGAGTACGCAAAGTTCCTCAAACCGATCGACGTCTATCTTGGGATACCCTACGCCACTCCACCGGTCGGGGGCAACAGATTCTCGCCGACCAGGGCACCCAGCCCGTGGGAAGGTGTCAGGTGAGCATTCACTCTCTTCTCTTCTTATTCATCCTTGTTTCACTGACTAGTCCAATTGTAAAATTACCATTATATGTTTTAACCTGATTTATCAAACTGAAGTATTTTTAACTGCAACCTAAGTGAACGATTAGCACTGTATGTTTTAACCTGATTTATCAAACTGAAGTATTTTTAACTGCAACCTAAGTGGACGATCAACACTGTATGTTTTAATTTGATTTATCACCCTGAAGTATTTTTGACTGTAGCCTAAGCAATCTGTATATACAATTTCATTTAACCTACGTGTCCTACATATTTTAACTTGATTTATCGCCCTGAACAGTATTTTTAACTGCAGCCTAAGTGAACTTTATGTACAGTTTCATTTAACCTGTGTGTTCTATATGTTTAACCTGATTTATCACCCTGAACAGTACTTTTAACTGTACCCTAAGTGATCTGTATGTACAATTTCATTTAACCTGTGTGTCTTACACAAGTATGACCCATATTGATTTTTGTTGTAATAAATAAAAGTTCCTGTCAAATTTTTTGGTAATTCATCTGAACGTTTTATCAGGTAGAATTTCAGTCATGGCACACACGGCGCGAACGTAAATTCTCGAGAGTACGGTTGCACGAATTTATTGTTAGAAGAATGATGCGAACTTCTGAGACCCCTGTTCCACGAATTCGTGAACTCACGCCCTGGTGCATTCCATCCAAATGGACCGACAATTCCCCCGTTTGCAACGGCTTCCTTCTCGCCACTTGCCGGCCAAACAAAAACAGAGACATAATTATTCATGAGTTTAATCTCCATACACTGTGACAGACTAGTGGGACAAAGGACAGCCAAATCGGGCCGCAAGAAAATACGATATACCGACAATCTGAAACTAATTACTCCGGAAATTATTCATGACACGGGGAAAACGTGGTGGAAAATTTTCAACCTGTTTCATCAAATATTAATTTTTTATCGAAAAATGTGCCATGTATTTTAACGTTCTCATTGTTCCTTTGTGTTCGATTCTATAGAGTCGGTTCATAATTAATGTTATCGAAAAAGCAGTTGGATGAATTTATGATAACGAGAAACTTATGTTATAATCGTTAATCATATTAACGGTGATTGAACAGTTAGATGTGAATTTAAGCGAATTCCTCTTTGCAGATTATCGGATTCAATCGGCCCAGTCTGTCCCCAAAAGCTGCCCGACATCTCGAATGAGCAAGAAGCACTGGAACGTATGCCGAAAGGCCGATTAGAGTACTTGAAGCGTCTGCTGCCTCATCTACGGAATCAGAGCGAGGATTGTCTCTATCTGAACATCTACGCACCGGCTATGGGTGAGTAATTCCGTTTATCCGCTTGTCAGCCTTACTTTATTGCTCGGACGGGTAGGTATTAGCTTTATTAATTAGGTCAGCTTATCGAGAATGCGGAATTAGTACGTTCGACGTCTTTGGTCGCAAGAGTAATTTCAGATACGCTGAATTGTTAGATAATCGCCGGAAAAGCTATTATTTGATAGTAATTCGTGACCGACAGAGAATTCAAGTAATTGCGGATGTTTATTCGAATGCGAGTTGAAATGTGTGTCAGTCAACATTTTATTCTACGTATTTCGCTCTGGTTTCGTATCGATTTCTTACACCGCACCGTGTATTTTTTGCACATCCCACGAATAAATATCCGCACTAATAACGCATCGAAATTAACATGTCAGGTACGGTTGTTGGAAGTTGTATTGACTCGTTCCACTTAATTACGAAGTGGGGAGACTGCGGTATTGCGTCGGACGGGAAGAAGGGATGATTTATGAGATATTTTATTACCGTTGGCAATTTCCATTGTGTCAGCGTTTCTATTCTACCTAAAAATACTTTTAACCCTTTATTGTTTCGTTCACTGGAATCTGCATATCGATAGAAACTTTAATACCACTGATTGATCGCCTCGAAGAGTTAATTTTATATTTTCTATGTTGAAAAATAGGGTCGCAATATACCACGCAAATCGATTAACATATCTTTCGTTACTTCGTATAATTACTCATACGTTTTCATGGACGTAAACAGAACGTTAATTGGCAGGAAATTATAAACGAATAGAAAATCACGGAAGGCTCGATAAACAAAACTATCGGGAACAAACGCCGCTTAGGTACACACGTCGATATTGAACACTAAAACAATTTATTGATGTTGCCTTCCTGTTACACTCCCCTCGTGAATGATACACGGTAAACATGATCGGTACAAATAAAACCAGCTATCGAACATATTCGTCAGAAACGACGGGGCATAAAATTTCCATTCTAAAAACGACTAAATTCACCACCATAACCGTAACAGTAATTTCAACTCGTAAAAGTAAACTTTACGATATTTCTCGTCTAACAAATGAACGTAGTTCCCAAAAATTTAGCCGGCAATTTAAACTTCTGCCTCGACGATTCGGTCGTGTCACTTTTTTCGCCGACTTCACCCCTATTTTCCGACCCTCTGTGCTGTCGGAGACGCGCGAACGTGTACACGTATCTTGTTGGAAAACGTCGCAACGTTCCCGTTCCCTTTGCCGTTCAATTTCCGGCCCGGGAGAGGGTGTAAGAAAAACGTGGCCCCAACAGGGGGTGAGCCGTAGACGCGAGGAAAAGTAAAATTTCCCATTTCGCGGAGAAAATGCAATGATGTACTATTATTGAAAGCGTTCCTCTCGCTGTTCGGTGCACGCAGCGTGAGAGAAATGAAAACGTGCAGGGAAAGCCTGAGGGTTGCTGCGAGGGGGTTGAAAGAAGACTCACCGTAGGAGGGATACATATTGCGTATACACATCACGACGTTCGACGTTTCCACCTTGCCCATGTAAACCGTTCCTTTGATGCTCCTTTATTTATACCCACTTCCCTTTAACACAAATAAGACATATCAAATCTGACATAATTTGGTCATTCACATATTATCTGCCAAAATCAAAGTATCATGTAGAGAATTTAAAGTCGCAAATGGCTAAATTTTGGGACGACTGAATTGATTGCTTCCGTGTGACAGTCTGTGAAGGGTTGACAACATTGTTGTTGACAATGAATAGGATTATTCGACCCGCGAATTGCCTCTATCAGGTGTCGGGAAGGTGCCGCTGAAGCATTACACGTGTTTAGTAGGTTGTCAATGGGCTACGCGTGTTTGCAACCCGATGATCTTCGGACATCAGAGACGTCCCGTGGTTGTTAGACACCTTGTTGACCAATCGAGACGTCTGTTCGCCCGAAATCGATATGTCTTATTGAAATCAGAGCGATACTGTCACTCTATGAATGCCTCAGGAAAATTAGGAACCCTTCACATAGCTTATATTTCTTCAAACTGAGTACCCATGGGTCTAACAATTGCAAATTTCCAATTAAAACAACTATTGATCTTTCCAAACTTGCCTAAGCTGCAGAAATTACTAACTCGATTGCGGGAAGAGAGCATACAGAAATGTTTGCAATTAGCGTCTAGTTGATGCGAGTTTTGCAAAGTAGTGTTACGAAGTAACTCGTTTAAACGCGAGACAAGCACGCCATTGCATCACAAAAGGAAGACTCGAAAGGAGCCGGCGTCTAAGTGGTATCCTAGACAACGAGAATGCCAAGGGCTCTTTCGACGGTCCTTGTAAGCAATCATCAGAAGAACTTCATGCACGCTCGAGCATCACACATACACCGGGGTTAACGATCGATCGATCGCCTTGGTTGGAAAGGGAAAGTCTGATGTTGCTACATTTGAAAGGGGTGCAACTTTGGATATTCTTCTGGGATTTGTTTCATTTTTTATTCAGCAATGTGCATACACCTTTTGCTATGTGACATGTCTTTTCAAAGGCTGTTTTGCACTTTTCACAGCTATGAAAATGAACACACTTTCACAGTTTAACATATGCTCTTGAAAAGACTGTGAGTTTGAGAATCTTTTGAATGTTAATTGAATGAATTTCTGTATTAACGTCAATGTTGATTGATTCAGAGTCAATCTTGCGATTTGAAGGTCATTCCAAAGTCGTGTCAAGGTCATTTTGACTTACGGTATAATTTTATGATGTGCAAGATAGAGGGTGCTGTTTAGGAAGTTATTTAATTGACATGGCAGTGGACAAATGTTTAGAAATGAAGTGTGTAGGTGTAAATTTGATAAAAAGTTGACAAAAACGACATTGCAGTAAAAAACTTCGTTGGCATTTATCATGAATTTATGGAGAAAGACTATAAACCCCGAAAGATCGTATTCCCGTGAAATTTTCACGCGGCTGAATGTTCTCGGCCACAGAGAATTCGAAATCAAAGAAAATCGAGCTTAACGAACCCTCGGCTCGAAGCTTAACGCCGCATTTACGATTCAAAGTCGGATCTGGGAGCGATTCCCGGCTTCCTTAGCCAAGTTATTCACCGCTCCAGAATATCCGTCGACGTGTCGCGTTAACGATCCCCTCGAACTACGTGGCTCGTCGCGTGACGTTCGAACGATCCTTCTGAAACGGCATCGCCTAGCGTCGCCGACATTGAAAGCCACTCGCCGCGACGAGTTCATTGTTTTCTCGGTATCGCATTCGAAATTTTCAGACTAATGGAAGCCAAGATCGTGGCCGTAAGAAAGTTCGATGCACGGGGAACTCGTCGTTCACGAACTTTCCTTGCTGCGGGCAAAAAGGTGCAAAAGAAGGGATCACAATCACACGGGCGAGCTCGCAATCTTCGGTGGCTCGCGATCGAACGAGGAGAGAAGGTGGCAAGTTTTCTCAGCCACCGACTAATAATCGAATCCGCAACTTTCCCGAGAATTTGTTTCAACTTGATATACTTCTTCGGGAAGTTCTTTCGTCGAAACGGGACTCGCGGTCCGTGAAATTATTTGTTCGTTCAGGGCGAACGAGGGATAAAGTGGCTTTTCCTGTTCCGTCAGGAACGTCCCTTTATATCGCTGATCCGGGATCCGCTTAATGCTCGCCGATGATCAAGCACCATTTGTATTTGCCACGCGGTTTCTTGCTCACCGCGCACCTTTTTGCGCGGATACGCGGGGAAAATGCTCCTACAGCTTGCTACGTCCTGTGAGTGAAGGTTTATTCTACCCACTGATGGAAAACCGGGCAAAAACCACCCTACGGTGAGATGGGACGCGATTCAATTATGGAGAAAGGGGCTAAGATGACTTTGAATTTGGACATTTTACAATGTACTGTTCCAAATTCAGAAATCTAAGAACTTGAGAAATTAAAACATTTGAAGTCTCAAAAAATTCAGGAGTTTCGATATCATCTAACAGTTCCTAACTTTGATAATTTTCCAAAAATTTCTAACAGAAAGTGTGCAAGATTTAACATATATGCACCGAGTAATAAATCTTGGAATTCGTAAACGGCGTATGAAAAAAGCTGAGCGACGGCAATATCGATCGTTTTGGTCGAGAAACAAGCAGCTCGTAATTACCGGTTCACTTTACTTGGCGGATTAAATCGCCGCGATAATTCTCGGCTGTCGTTCACGATATCGTTGTGCAACCCGTACACCTAAGTGGACCATCGACTATCAGAGTTTTCCTTGCTATTGACCGGTTCAAGGGTTGTTATCTACGGAATAACTTTACCGACGTTTCAACCCATAATTGAAAGGTGTATTCTGTTAAGTTTGCTAAAGGTCTGGTTTAATGAAATAAATTCTGGCCTCAGAGAAATTAATATTAAACTCCAGTATTTTTCCCCCTCGAAGAAGATTAGTTACGTCGAAGCGGTCTTAGATTACAGACGAGAACCTTCAAGTGCTGGTTAAAGAGATTTCGAAGAGCATCGGCGAATGACTCGAGGACAAAATTAACCTTCTTGTACAGAATTTGTCGGGAAGAATTATGTAACGTAACATTTTGTAAAAGTGGAGCAACCTCAAAAATCTGCCCAGCACGTAGCTGGAGGATAAGAGCCGGGAGCTAAGAAGTTGCGAATGCAATATGAAGTAACACGTGGATTCTCTTTCTCTCAGTATTCAGTTATCTTCTGAACGCACGCGAGTACTCGCGCAAAAGCAAGATCAGAAGAGTGGAGGAGAGGAAAGTTAAGAAGGAGAAGACGATAAGGATGATGTTCCTTTGTGAAACGTAATTCGTATTCCAAGTGCGAGCCAACCGTTCATTCGCTGCCAGCTGGAGAGATCTTTGATGTCTCTTTTCCTCCCGGCTGCACCCCTTCCTTTTTTCTCTCATTAAGGATTCGCGCGTTGGGGGACGCGTGCACGACGCTCCTTTGCGGCGTGATTAATTAAAACGACATCTTCGCGAGCTAACGAGGCGACGCAGTCACCTCGAGGCGTCTGACA